CTACGGCTAACACCTCAGAAGTGAAACGGTAAGGGGTTTTTTAAATCGCTTGTAAATGTGGCTGAGTTCAAACTTCATTAGGCGTCTCTAACTTCACAGCAGCATCTGCAACTTGAGCACCTCTGACAAAATAAACAGGTTCGAGACATTCACCTGCTGAATTCTCTACTTTTGCCCTTTGTCAGTGTCAGTTTAAAACAAGAAATGCTGAAGGTCAGCTTCATAGCTGACCGTGCTACACCCTTTGATTGCAAAAACTGCACTTAGAAAATTTTCCTGTTTCTCTAATCCTGTATCTATCCTGATTGTCTAGTTGAAAGTGTTCTGCTGTTTTTTTATTCAGAAAACCTGTGCTTGGCCTCTACCCTGACTTACCCTTATCCCTCCCACAGTCTCTGCACCCAAAATGGCTTTTATACCCTTCCTTCCATCCCTCCTGCAGTTCACAAGGCTCCTCCGCCAGGCTGGTAAAGGAAATTGGGGAACTCGGTCTGCTCTGCTGCGTCTCTCCCAGCAGGTGTCAGTGCCCTTCTGTACCTGCCACCTAAACGGGAGGCGGCTTTTCTTCAGGTTTGCTCTTCTGACGTTTTTCTTGATGTCAGAGAGCCTGAAAGAGAGGAGGAGGTTTCCTATCTTGCACCCCGGCAAGATCGATGACGTCAGGTCAGAATTAAGTTGCAGGAGGGGATCTGTCTGAGGGCTATACACCTCGTCTTTGGAAATTTCTATGCCTATCTGAAAAAGGCTGAAGTTACCCAAAGTATTCAATAATATAAAAGTTGCAATCCAGCAAATTCTCTCCTGTTCCTTCTGTCCCTCTCGCCTATGCCGAAGGCCGCCGTTCATAGGCAAAACAGGGAATAGGGAAACATGGGTCACACAGGAAACAATCTTTAAAGCAAATGAGGCCATGTCTCTGCACCACCATCACCACACAAATCCTCACACACACTAACTTCTGCGCAAGTCCCCCTGGCTCTGTTTAAAGCTTCTGAGCAGTCAAGGGGCATGGAAAGGGGTGGAGCATTTGTTTAATTTTCAACTACTCCAGAAGCAATTTCAAGAGCACTGGACAAGCCAGGTTAGAAAATGTGCCTCAGAAAGCAAGGTACCACATCCTCTTTGCACCTCCTTTCTGGGGTGCTGGCCAGAAACCCATGGTCAACCATGGCCACAGTCATCAGACGGTTCTTTTCCACAGTATTCTGGCTGTAGATTGGTCCATTTTATAGCCTGCTTTCACAGCCTCACTCCATTTTATTTCTAAGTAATAAGGAAAAGATAATCCTGTCATAAATTGTTTGTTACAACACTATCCAAAAATCACTTCTGCTCCGAAATTTGGCTCTAATTTCCATGTAGGAAGTTTGAAACGTTACAGATAATTCATTGTTTAAAGTTAAACAGTCTTAATCTGATCCTTTTAAGTTCTTCTGATTTCATTGTAAATCAGTATTAGTCAAGTTTTCTCATTTTTGAAAGCTTTGCTAATCTAAATGCTAATTGTCATGGAGTTTTGCAAGCCACAAATACACTTCTCACAGGTTTTCAAATGTCTATTAAGCTTCTCTATCACTCTTTTTAGCCCTTGAAGATATGCCAAAACACGATGTTAAATTATGTAGCTTGTGAGGACTTCCCAATTGCATCCTGCCATATGTCAAATGATGTGCCTTTTATAATTACCGTACATAGCAAGTCATAAGAAGTTAACTATTTCCACGCTGTGGAACAATCAGGAGGCATTTTCGTTAGTACCCTTCTATTTCCTTGCTGATCTAAAAATACTCATGAGATGCTAAAAATCAGCTTTTTTCCTTCCAAATGTCAAATCAGATAGGAAATAGGGAATCTCCACTTCCAACACAGAATTGCTCCCATTTACAAGTCTTCTCGAAGGCTGTGCTTAAAGTAACAAGAAAACACCTACCTTACGGAAAGGCGTGCAACAAGACAATCTCTCCATTGTCCTTAATCTTAGCTTTCCTAATTTCCCCTTCCCTCCTGGCCTCACCCAAACTCATTTTTAGCATTATCAGGTCTTATGCCACTCTCAGTTGATTTCAAAAGGAGAGAATAAATACAAGTTATTTCTTCAACAAATAAAAGTTATTTCAAACATTTTGTTGGGCCATGTCAACTGAAAACAAAATCCTGCTTGGGGACAGTTCCACGACTCTTAAAGAACAGCGACATGCTTTGGAGTACCCCAGGATAATTTAGCAAAGACTGGAGCACCACGTCACAGTATTCCTAAAGCACTCTAATATTAGAGTGGTTTACAAATTGGCCATTCAGCAGGCTGGAGATCACAGAACTCGGCTAAATCCTAAGCAGTGAAGCCATAAGAAGCCTGCTGCTGTGTACAACCCCAGGAAGAGGAGCAACTTAACACTACCACCTTGACTTCACCGCTCAAGTGATGTCCAAGCCAAAAAGCAGGTTAGAGGTCCACCTTAAAAATCAGCTATGTACTGCAGTGTTCATGGACAAAAAAAACCCCACACCCAAAACTTTCACAGTATCTTAAATCATTTCTGTTTGCATGTCTCTTCCGTTACTTTCCTCTGAACATCCCACCACACAACCCTCCCACCATTTCATCCTTCTCACTTACATCACCGTAATTACAGCCCTGGCTGATCTCCTTTGTGCTGATCTCGAGATTCTTTCTTTGGTCTTGCCACCTACTCATTTCTGATTCTTCTCAGATAACAGAACGCTTGTCTCCTTCCCAGACCTCCCACCCTACTTCCCCCTCTTCCTTGCACCATCCATACGAGTAAGAAAGCTAGTGTTTTCCTGTCTTGAAGAGCTCTTTGCGGCACTCACTGAAAGGCATTCCCAAACTTATTATCTCCATCCAGTAAAGACTACAACAGCTCTGCTGTGGGCCTGGTAAGATATTACGCTTGTGGGCAAAACATTCTTTGGATTAGGCTTGCAAAGGGCAAGAGTCTTAACCTTCAGAAGTTTACTTTGAAGTCTGGCTGATTCAGGTTCCCTAAATCATTCTGCGCATTTACTTCCAGCTAGAGCACATCTGTACATCTCCAGTGGAGAGCATTCACTTGGCACGCAGCATTTCGTGAGGCTGCCTACATGCGCGTATATGGAGTCAACAGCACACTCCCTCTTCAGTGGAAGAAGATACCTACTGTTCTCATACTCGGTGTTGTTTTGAATTGCACGAGGACAGAGAGACAGGCATTACCAACAGTTTCCTCACCGTTACAGAGCTTAAGGGGAAGGAAGGAAGGGAAGAAGGAAGAAAGGAAGGAAGAAAGGAAGGAAGGAAGGGGTGAAGAGGAAGAGAGAAAACCTACATACTCAGAACATTCATCCTCTTCTATTTCAACTCATCCTCTACTATGGAAAATGCAAACAGAGAAACTCCCAACAGAAGTAGTTCAGTGTAGGCAAGGCAGTCATCCTTACATTGTAAGGCATCCAAGAAACCAAATATCCCCCAGTTTTTCACTGTCACTTGAACCTTAGTTGTATTCCGATCCTAATCGAGTGCTCTGCATCAATTCAGATGAAATTATGTGTGTTTTGCTTACTAGTACTGTGTTAACATCAAAGGGAAAAATACAACAATCATGGACCTAGGCAACTTAGCTGAAACATCAATTACGTAACTCAAGGTTAAAGCACTTGCTTTTTTTTTTTAATAGGTATAATACTTATGGCAGTTACTGTAACTAATGATACTTTACAGCTACATTTGTTGTGTAGGCTACAGAACCCAAATGCTGCAATCCACATCTAAAATCAGCATGACTCAGGCATATTCCAAAGGGCAAAACTGC